TTTTTTTTTTTTTTTTTTTTTTTTTTTTTTTTTTTTTTTTTTTTTTTTTTGGCATGCAGCATTTATTAGAGACCCAAGAATTAGCTTCTGTTCCTTTTGTTGTATTGGGCAATAAAATAGATAAACCCCATGCTGCTAGCGAAGACGAACTTCGTCAACAATTGGGGCTGTATGCCCATATTACCTTTGGTAGAGATGTAAGCTAGGGTTTAGGGTTTAGGGTTTAGGGTTTAGGGTTTGGGTGATAGGGACATAAATAGATCCCGATTTAGAGGTAAAGACATACAAAAGGAGACACACAATTAAGGGAAACAATAAAAAGGGAGACAATTAAATTATTTATTTATTTATTTATTCATTTATATATTTATTTATTTATAGAGGAAGCCAGTCCCTGGTGTACGTCCAGTAGAATTATTTATGTGCTCAGTTATTAAACGAATGGGATATGCAGACGGCAAGTCAAGCTGCTGCTGCTGTTGCTGCTGCTGTTGCCGCTGCTGTTGCTCTTTCTTGGGTAGCTACTGTTACTGTGCGGCTGTCAGTGCTGTATCTGCTGCTGCTGCAGTGCTGCTGCTGTTGCTGCTACTACTGCTAGTGGTGCTGCTCCTGCTGCTGCTAGTTAGCTGCTGCTGCTGCTGTCCTTGTGTTGTGTGTCTGCAGCCTTCCGTTGGTTGTCTCAATTCTTAAGCTAAGGGTATTTAACCACAAAGGGCCCCCGGGGGCCCCCGGGGAAAGAGAGCGTCAGAAGGCAGCTGCAGCAGAAGCCGCTGCTGCTGCTGCTGTAGCAGCTCTAGCAGTAATTGTAGCAGTAGCTGCAGCAGCATCTGTAGCAGTAGCTGTATCAGCAGCTGCAGCAGTAGCAGCAGCAGTAGCTGCTGCTTCTGTTACTGCAGCAGCAGCAGCAGCAGCCGTAGCAGTAGCTGCAGAAGCTGTAGCAGCAGCAGCAGCCTCCCTGTTTGTGCTGTCTGTACACCGGAGGGTGCAGACAGTTGTTGCTCTCAATTTTGGGGCTTTAGACGCATGCATGCGTTCGCCATGGCAACACAAGTACCTTAAGGGGCCCCCCAAAGGGGGCTACCATGGGGCCCCCTACCTTGGGGGCCCCCATGGGGGCCCCCCGCGGGTTTTGAGGGTTTGATGTTAAATATCTTTATTTTATTAGGGTTTAATAAAAGAAAAAAAGAGACAAACAGAGCAACAGGAGGCATCTAACACTACACATGCACGAACTCTGCTGCTGCTGCTGCTGCCGCTATTGCTGCTGCTGCAGGTAGTTCTGCAGCAGCAGCTGCTGCTGCACCTTCTGCTGCTTCATTGGGTTGCTGCTGCTGCTGCTGCTGCCGTTGGGCTGACTGGCAGCAGGAAGACCCAAGCACGGAGCACATCTGCATGCATTAAATATGCATGCATGCATTATATGCATGCATGCATTAAATAATATTTGCATGCATGCATGCATTTACTATGCGTGCATGCATGCATGCACAAAACGTTCGCACGCATGCATGCACTATTTGCATCTGCACGCATGCATGCAGGCATAATATACTGCAGGCAAGTACAATTGCATGCGTGCATGCATGCATGCATGCACGCATTAAACATATGCATGCATGGATTCATGTATGCATAAAAGAATGAAAATATATGGTGTGCATGCATACATGCATGCATACAAATGCATGCATGCAAGAATACGCATGCAAGTATGCATGCATGCATATATGCATGCATATAATTAAGTATGTATATGAGTATCATCAATCCATAGAGATAAATGATTAATAATTGCTTGTAGATATTTATTTTTCTTTTTTAATTCCTTAATAAAGGTACTAAGGGGGCCCCCCTCTTCTGTACCCCCTAATAGATTGGGGCCCCCCCCTCCATCTCCTCCTGGCCCTTTGGCCGGTGTATCGGGGCCCCCCCCATCATCTCCAGCAACAGCATCAAGAACAACCTGCTGCAGCTGCTGCTGCAGCTGCTCCTGCTGCAGCTGCTGCTGATGCTGCTGCAGGGATACAAGAAGATTACTAAGATTATTATTAAGGGATTGTGCATGCATGCATATATTAATTATATCTTTCTTTTCTTGCTGCACATAAAAAAGCCCCAAAATAGTCTTATGCCATACATCTCCTCTTACTTTTGCTGCATGCATCTGTGCATGCATGCGCTGCAGCAGCAGCAGCAAACGTTCCTTCTTAACACGATGAGAGAAGCGCTCCTCATCATGTTGCTGCTGCTGCTGCTGCAATAGACGTTCCTCTTCCTGCTGCTGCTGCTGCGGATCAACAGCAGCAGGAACAACACCTTGTAGCATCTCCTTCTTCCCCTGCTGCTGCTGCTGCTGCTGCTGCTGCTGCTGCTGCTGCCGCTGGAACCACCATTTGCTGCTGAGGTCATTAAGACGTACTTTTACTTCTGCTAGTTCATGAATAAGATCATTAATTTCTGTTAATAGTCTTTTTTGCCCTAGCTGCTGCTGCTGCTGGTGCTGCTGCAGTTGCTGCTGCTGCTGCTGTTGCTGCTCCTCTATGTACTGCAGCAATTGCTTATGTTGGTGCTGCAAGGTAGGGTCAGATACTTGCTGCTGCAGCTTATCAAGAATATCTTGCTGCATCTGTGCTGCAGCAGCAGCAATGTGCTGCTGCTGCTGCAGCATAACATCAACAATATGCTCCCTTGAATTTGCTGCATGCAGCTGCTGCTGCAGTGCTGTCTGCTGCTGCTTTAGCTGCAGCAGTGTATCTGCTGCATCTGCTGCTGCTGTGTCTGCTGCTGCTTCAAGCCCCGCAACTGCATGCCTAGCGCATGCAGCAGCAGCACGTAATTCAGATAATACTTTCCCTGTTTCCCCTAGATGGGTAAGGGAAGCAGCTTGCTGCCGCTGCTGCTGCTGCTGCTGCTGCTGCTGCAGTTGCTTTTCTTTATTAGCTCTCTCTACATTTAATTTATCTAATTCAAATAATAATTTAATTTCTTCTGCTTCTGCTGCTGCTAGCTGCTGCTGCAGTTCCTGCTGCAGCTGCTGCTTGCATGCATTAGGCAGCAACAAATATAATAAATCTTTTTCTTTTGCTCCTTCTCTTGCCTTAACAAGAAAGTGCGACAAAGAAGGAAGTTTCTTACTCTCTAGATCTATTATTTGCTGCTGTTTGCTGCTAGCTAGCTGCTGCAGCAGCAGACCTGCGGATACACTCAGCAGCAGCAGCCATAGTAACTTGTGACGCGGCAGCAGCGCAGAAGAACGACGGGTGCGACGACCTCCTGCTGCTGCTGCTGCTGCTGCTGCAGCAGCTGCTGCAGAAGTAGTAGTACCGCCTCCTGAACCGCCAGTTATAATGTATGAACCCTGTTGCTGTCGCTGCTGTAGCTGCTGCTGCTGTTGCTGCTGCTGTTGCTGCTGCTGTTGCTGCAACGTGTTGCTGTATGCACCGTCCCATCCGTGCTGCTGCAGTCCTTCTTCTGCTTCTCTATCTGCTGCTGCTGCTGCTGCTCCCTCAAGACCGAAGCTGCTGCTGAATAATTCAGACATAGTTAGGTGTGGTAGCTGCTTACGGTTGCGTCGCTGCTGCTGCCTCTTGTGCTGCTGCTGCTGCTTCTGCTGCTGCTGCTGCTCCTGTAATATATGCTGCTTAAGGAGCTCCTGTAGTGCCTGCAGCTGCCGCTGCTCCTCATCTAGCTGCAGCTGCAGCTGCAGATCCTGCTGCAGCTGCTCCTGTTCCTGGTCTGGTTGGAGTTGCAGCCGTAGCTGCTGCTGCTGCTGCTGCTGCTGCTGCTGCTGCAGCGATAGGTCCTTCCCTGCTATATCAAAGGAATCTAGATCGAAGCTTCCTGTTGTCTCTGATGCTGCCTTGCTTGAGGACTCGCGACTCTTCCATAGAATTCCTCCTTCTCCTGCTGCTGCTGCTGCTGCTGCTGCTGCTGCTGCTGCTGTAGGTGTTGCTGCACCAGACACAGGGGTCGATGGACCTGAACTGTAAGGGGGCCCCAATGTATCATGAGTAACAAGACCATCTAGGGGCCCCACCAATATCCTGCTGCTGCTGTTGCTGCGTGATGGTGGTTCTGATCCTGTTGCTGTTGCTGCTGCTGCTGCTGCTGCTGCAGCTGCAGCAGCAGCTGCTGCTGTTGCTGCATTACGAGGCGTCGATAGACGCTCCGCTGGGGGCCCCTCAACTTGATCTACCTGTGATGGGGACCATTCTTGGGGGGCCCCTGAGGGGCCCTCTGTCAGCTCTGCTGCTGCTGCTGCAGCAGCAGGGGCAGCTGCTGCTCCCAAGAGAGAGGGGGCCCCCTGCTGCTGCTCTGCTGCAAAAATAGAGGAGAAAAGAAGCAGCAAAATAAAAAGAAGAAAAGGGGGAAGATGCAGCATTAGGGTTAACGTATGCATTACCTACCGATGCTCCTGCTGCTGCTGCTGCTGCTGCCGCTGCTGCTGCTGCTGCTGCTGCTACTGCTGCTAGGAGGCTCCCGGTGCATTGTCTACATTAACCCTAAATATTATCATAAAGGGTGGGGAAGGCCTTTAACCCCAATTAAAAGTCCTAAACCCTAAACCCTAAACCCTAAACCCTACGCCGCCTACTGTGCGGGATCCAGCAAGCACTTGCAAAAGAATCTTAATAAACAAAACATTTAAATAAATAATAAAAAGAAAAAAAGTAAAATAAAAAGAAGGAGGAGGGAGGAAAAAGAAGAAGGAAGAAGGGAAGAGAAGATTTCCTTACACAGGATACCAACCGAGGCTTCCGATTGGCGCAGAAGAAGGGTTTATATGAGGGTTTAGGGTTTTGTAGGGTTTAGGGTTTAGGGTTTAGGGTTTAGCACTCTATTTTTCCTCATAATAATTGTTTATTTATAATAAAATAAATAATTATAAAACCCTAATCTTTTTATCATTAATAATTAACTAGGAAACCCCATCGCTCGCGTACGAGGGGAGACGCTGCCTCTAAACCCTAAACCCTAAACCCTAATCCGTAAACCCTAAACCCTAAACCCTAATCCGTAAACCCTAAACCCTAAACACAAAACCCTAAACCCTAAACCCTAAGCTGTAATAAAATAAAATAATAATGCATATACTACAAGGGAGAGAAGAAAGGAGCTAAGTGCCCTTTTATTGCCTTTTGTTTATTTAGTGTTTAATTATATATATATTTATATGAATAAAGAGAAGAAATACAAAAAAGAAATAATAATTATTATTTATTATTATTTATATTTCTTCCTTCCTTCCTTTTCTCTTAGGAGGGAGAAGACTACCCCACTAGCTATACTTTATTTACTTGTATATGTACATATGTAAATATATGTATATACATGTATATACGTATATATGTACATATATGTATATACGTATATACGTATATATGTATGTATATTTGTATATATATACAAATAAATAAGTATATGTATACTTATTTATATGCATAAGGTGTATATTTATATAATTAATTAAAATAAGTTTGTTTATTAAACCCTTTTGTTGTTATTTCTTAGTAAAAAGATGTAAACCCTAAACCCTAAATATAAACCCTAAACCCTAAACCCTAGACCCTAGAAGAGAGAAAAAACACTTTAATAAACAAAAAGAAAACATCTTTAGTTACAAACCCTAAAAAGAAGAGATAATTGTTTACTCTCCTCCATGCATGCACTCATCAGCTAACGTAAACCCTAAACCCTAAACCCTAATTCTGAGCCCTCGTACTATTCCGTAGACGAAAGGCTCTTGTGCTATCTGCCATGCAGCAGGATATAATTAAGAAATTAGGGTTTAGGGTTTAGGGTTTGGCTCTAGGGTTTGCAACAAACCCTGCCACCCTTTGAGGTCAAGGGTTTGAACAAACGACCTAGGGTTTAGGGTTTAGGGTTTAGGGTTTGTGCCGGCATCTGCATAAATTACTAATTGTCCCTGCAGGGCCGCACGCAAACCCTCTAAAAATGGTCTAGGGTTTAGGGTTTAGGGTTTATGGGACCCCAAGGAGCAGAGAACGGCGCCAACGAAGAGGCGCGATTGCGCTAATAAGAGGTTATATTTAAAATTCTCTCATGCTGCTGCTGCTGCTGCTGCTGCTGCTGCAGTTGCTGCTGCTGCAGTTGCTGCTGCTACTCTTGCTGCTGCAGCGCTTATTTGCTGCTGCTGCCGTTGCTGCTGCTGCTGCTGCTGTTGTATCTTCATTGATCACTGTTTAGGCGTAAAATGTTGCTGCTGCCTATCCAGCGGTTTTTTTTCTTTGCTGCTGCTACTGCTGCTACTCTTCCTGCTGCTGCAGCTGCTGCTGCTGCAGCAGCAGCAGCAGCAGAAATGAATTATAATCTTATAGTCTTAACTAAATATAAGACAGCAAGAAGAGATAATACAGCAGTAAATGCTATAACAGAGGACACTAATATAAACATACTATGACTACTACTTCCTTCCTCATTACCATTCTGTAAATTCATACCAAATATACCTAAAAAAAAAAAAAAATTGATAAAACTCTAAAACCCTAAACCCTAAACCCTAAACCCTAAACCCTAAACCCTAAACCCTAAACCCTAAACCCTAAACCCTAAAAATTGAAAATTAAAAATTAAATACTAATGAAGGATGGAATAAAAGTGGGATATCGATATAAACCTAATCCTGATTTAATTAGTGTTTAGTATATAATTAGGGTTTAGAGTATAATTAGTGTTTAGGGTTTAGGGTTTAGGGTTTATTATTTACCAGATATAGAGGTACCAACAGCAAGACCAGCAGCTAATAAAGTAGCAGCTAATTCTGATTTAATAAGAGAATTTCTCATAACAGCTAATCTTAATGTTAATAATCTTTCGCTGTCTTCTATTGAACCTTTTAAATGACGAACACGAATTTTAAACTGTATACACATAAACCCTAAACCCTAAACCCTAAACCCTAAACCCTAAACCCTAAACCCTAAAAATAATAAAAAAATAGAAAATAAACCCTAAACCCTCATATCATAACCATTTCAACAATAATATATAACGCTTAAACCCTAAATGATTAAATATTTCAGGGGCACCACCACAACGATACGCCCTAACCCTAAACCCTAAGCCCTAAACCCTAAACCCTAAACCCTACTCTTTCTCTTACCTGGTCTATTTCTTGGTCAAAGTATTCTAGAAGAATCTCAAGGTCAGGGTTTACTGCCTCCTGCAACAACAAAACAGCAGCAGCAACAGCAACAGCAACAGCAGCATTAGCATTAGCAGCAGCAGCAGCAGCGCTGCTGAGGAAGCAAGGGGCACTTCCTGCAGAGATAACAGCAACCTCCCCCACCACCTTTCTTATATTATTACCTAGGGTTTAGGGTTTAGGGTTTAGGGTTTAGGGTTTATACCTTATCTGTAGGTTCTTCATATAAATTAGGATATTTAGCATACTTAGATAACTCCATCCTTTGTAGATAAGTATTATTACTAATTAATTCATCAAATGCTTTATCAAATGCGTCTACACGATCCTATCAATACAAACCCTAAACCCTAAACCCTAAACCCTAAACCCTAAACCCTAAACCCTTGAAAAATTTTATTATTTATAAATTCATGAAATGCCTTATCAAAGGCATCTACATGATCCAAGAGACACAAAACCCTAAACCCTAAACCCTTTAAAAATATAACTACATATTAATTCATCAGGGACTTAAGTGTTTAGGGTTTAGGGTTTAGGGTTTAGGGTTTACCTGATATAAAGAAATAGGTTCCTTAAGTGCATGCAAATCCTCCATTAATAAAGATAATAATTCTCCCTTTGTTCTTGTCCTATGTTGTGCTTCTCCGTATTTACCTTCTAGATAAAGAATATCTAATAAAAAGGAGACAAAAAAAAAGGAGACAAAAAAAAGGAGACAATAAGGAGATAGGGAGGGGACAGGAGGAGACAGGGAGGGACAAGGAGACACAAAGGAGGAAAAGAGCAGACAAAAGGGAACAGTAAGGAGACAACTGCATGCAGACAGCCATCGCTAGGAGACAAAGGAGACACTTAGAGACACACAACAATAGCAGCAGCAGCAGCAGCAACAGCAGCAGCAGCAGCAGCAGCAACAGCAGCAACAGCAGCAGCAGCAACAGCAGCAGCAGCAGCAGCAGCAGCAACAGGTTCTGTACCTGCATTTAATTGTTGGAATGCAGCAAAGAAGATACACTCTAAAGCAGCAAACTCAAAAGGAAGTTTATGACTGCTGCTGCTGCTGCTGCTGCTGCTGCTGCTGTTAATATTATTAGTATTATTATTACCAACAGAGCAGCAAGAATTAGATCGGGGGCCCCCATCTCCTCCTGCTCCTGGGGCCCCATCACCATCAAATGCTACATGATGCCCCCCATCTCCTCTTCCTTGAGCACGTGGTGATGTAGGGGCCCCCCCACCACCTGCACCACCAGTACCACCTCCTGGGGGCCCCCCACCTCCTGGGGGCCCCCCACTACTACCACTAGTAGTACCTGTTAAGGGTACAATTCCTTTAATACCTCCTATAATAGCCTTAGATGTTTGTGCTAATGCTGATAACTGTTGTTGCCCCAACTTATGCTGCTGCACTTGCTGCTGCACTTGCTGCTGCACTTGCTGCTGCACTTGCTGCTGCACTTGCTGCTGCACTTGCTGCACTTGCTGCTGTGTATGTTTAAAAGGTATAGTAGTATATAGATCATGTTTATCCTTATAATAATGAGCATCTGTATCATTGCCTCCTGTCCCTGCAGTTTCTCCTGTTGCTTGCTGTTGTTGTTGCACTTGTTGCTGCTGTTGCACTTGTTGCTGCTGCAGTTGCTGCTGTTGTTGCTGCTGCTGCTGCTGCACTTGTTGCTGCTGCTGTTGATGAATAGAATAATATTTAGTTAATCTACATAATTGACAAATAAGTTCATCAGGTTTAAGATCCTCAGTAACAAGAAGATAAATAGTATCTTTTAATAAGAAACAAGTAATAGGAGGAAGACATATTAATATAACATGTCTTCTTATCTCTATTGATGGTATAGGATGTACATCCGTGAATACTTGACGACAATCACGATATGTAAGTATACATGATCTAGATAATGTCTTATCTATACATTCTGATTGTAATAAACGTAATACTTCTGCTACCTAAGAACACCACCAGCAGCAGCAGCAATAGCAGCAGCAGCAGCAGCAGCAGCAGCAGCAATGGAGGATTGTCATTATCCATTATTCTATATTCATATTCTTTTTTTATTTCGGAGGAAATAGGAGAGGGAAGGGGAGAGGAGAGGAGGGGAGGGGAGAGGAGGGGAGAGGAGGGGGAGGAAGAGGAAGAGGAGGAAGAGAAAGAACAGCAGCAACAGCAGCAGCAGCAGCAACAACAGCAGCAACAGTAGCAGGAGAGAGAGAGAGAGAGAGACAAATAAGATACAACCAATAATACATGAAGAAATTAACAACAAGGAAACAAAAAAGGAGACAAATAAAAAGGAGACAAAAAAGAGAGAAAAAAAGGAGACAATTAATAATAATAAGGAGACAAAAAAGGAGACAAAAAAGGAGACAAACAAGGAGACAAAAAGGAGACAAAAAAGGAGACAAAAAAAAGAGACAAAAAAGGAGACAAATAAAAGGGAGACAAAAGGAGACTAGGAGACAAAAAGAGACAAAACAGGAGGAGACAAAAAAGGAGACAAAAAGGAGACAAAAAGGAGACAAAAAAGGAGACAGGTACTTGTACCTCAAGTATTTGATGAATTCCTTTATGTATTTTTATGACAAAAAAAAAGAAAAAAAAGAGAAAAAAAAGGAGACAGTAATAAATAAATAAGGAGACAATTAATAGACAAAAAGGAGACAAAAAGGAGAGAAAAAAGAGAGAAAAAAGAGAGAAAAAAAGGAGAAAATTAGCTTCTTTGCAGCTCAAGTATTTGATGAATTCCTTTATGTATTTTTATGACAAAAAAAGAGACAAAAAAAGACATAAAAAAAGAGAAAAAAAAGGAGAGAAAAAAGGAGAGAAAAAAGGAGACAGCAATAAATAAATGAGGAGACAAAGAAGGAGAGAAAAAAGAGAGAAAAAAGGAGAGAAAAAGGGGAAAATTAGCTGACTTGTAGCTCAAGTATTTGATGAATTCCTTTATGTATTTTTATGACAAAAAGGAGACAAAAAAAGACATAAAAAAAGAGAAAAAAAAGGAGAAAAAAGGAGAGAAAAAAGGAGAGAAAAAAGGAGACAGTAATAAATAAATAAGGAGAGAAAAAAGGAGAGAAAAAAGGGGAGAAAAAGGGGAAAATTAGCTGACTTGTAGCTCAAGTATTTGATGAATTCCTTTATGTATTCTTATAATAACATGACGACGAAGTCTTGCCCTCTGACCAAATGGTCCCTTCTCCCCTAATGCCCATACCTCCTCCTCTCCTGCTGCTGCTGCTGCTGCTGCTGCTGCTGCTGCTGCTCCTGTTGCTCCTGTACTTGTACCTGATACTCCTCCTCCTCCTCCTCCTCCTCCTCCTACACCTGCTGTTGTACCTCCTCCTCCAGCAGATCCACCAACAGCAGCAGCAACGGATATATAACGACTAGGTCGGTGTTGTTGACCTAGCAGCATTTGCTGCTGCTGCTGCTGCTGCTGCTGCTGTTGTTGCTGCTGCTGATAATGTCTACTATCTACACTAGAACTACTACTACGGGGGGGTGGGGGGCCCCCTATATGATAAGGGGGGCCCCCATCATGACCACCTATACTTGAGTCTTGTGATGCAGCAGAGGAGACAACAGACTCAAGACCACCAAAGGAGACTCTTGCACCACCACCATGCTGCTGCTGCTGCTGCTGCTGCTGCTGCTGCTGTAGTTGGTGCTGCTGATGATGTTGTAGTGCAGCAGCATAAGCATGACGATCTCCAGGTGTATCCGCTAATTGTGCAGCAACAGCAGCAGATGCAGCAGGGTCCTGAGATAGGGCACAGTACCCTGTCATGTTACTACCCTCTCCTGAGGCCCCCCCATGGGGGCCCCCAAGGGGGCCCCCCCTCCCTCTATTTAATAATACCTCTCTTTCTTCTTGTAATAAACCTAATGGATCCGTTAGAGAGGGGCCCCCAGCTGGGCCCCCCGGGGGGCCCCCAGGGGGCCCCTCTACGGCATCCGTACACTCATCTAACATATGATTTACTGTCTCCGTATAGTACCCTCCATCCCTCTCTATACCCATATGAGGACTGCTGCCTCCTAGGGGGCCCCCTGCTGTACCCTGGGGGCCCCCTCCCCTCCAACGTAATGTACTACCATCTGCTCCTCCTCCTGTAGGGGCCCCCCAATGCGAGGCCCCACCTGCTGCTGCCCATGTATCTGCAGCACCAGGGAGGGCCTGGGGGGCCCTAGAGAAGGCAGCAGCAAAATGACGGGGCCCCTGTACAGGGGGCCTCGGGGGCCCCCCACCTACAGACTCTATATGAGAGTCGCTGCTTGTGGGGCCCCTAAGCAGCAAATACACACAACACAACACAACACATATAGGTAATTATGCAGCAGCAGCAGAATGAGCAGCAGCAACAGCAGCAGGAGCAGCAACAAGAGCAGCAGAGACAGCAGCAGTAAGAGAGAAGTAACAGCTGCAGCAAGAGCTGCAGCAACGGCAGCAGCAGCAGCAAAACGAGTAGCACGATCAGCGGCCGCGTACTGGTGGTACCACCATCAGCAGCAACAGCAGCAACGGCAGCAGCAGCAGCAGCAGCAGCAACGGCAGCAGCAGCAGCAGTAGCAGCAGACGCACGCAATGGATCGTCGGTCTCCTGGCAGAGGCATTTTATCCCTGTAAAAGAAAAATAATGTTGGGGGTTTGCTGCTGCTGCTGCTGCTGCTGCTGCTAGTGCTGCTGCTGCTGCTGCTGCTGCTGTTGCTGCTGCAGCTGCACAGTTGCAGTTATGCGGGCAGCAGCTGCTCAAAAGGCGGAAGTAGCGCGAGCTCGCCGCATGCAGCAGAAGCTTTGCTGCTGCTGCTGCTGTTGCTGCTGCTGTTTCTGTTGTTGCAGCAGCAGCCAAGGATATGTGCGGTTTCCTTGCTTCTGCTGCTGCTGCTGCTGTTGCTGCTGCTGCTGCTGTTGTTGCTGCAGCCTGTGCCTCTTCCCATTGCAGCGAACACAGACTATGGCCTTCTTTGGCGCCGCAACTCGGGCCGAGGGTTTATAGAAGATTAGGGTTTAGGGTTTAGGGTTTAGGGTTTAGGGTTTGTGAGGGTTTCCTCTAAATATGCTCAAGAAGTCTTTGTTGTAGCGGGGCGGTCTGCTGCTGCCTCCCCTATACTGCTGCTGCTGTTGTTATTTCTGCTGCTGCTGTTGTTGTTGCTGCTGCTAGAGCTCCTGCTGCTGCTAATTCTGCTGCAGCAGGGAACGACGGGGTACCAGCAACAGCAGCAGAAGCCGCAGCACCCCTGCTGCCTCCGCGTGCTACTGCTGCTGCTGCAGTTGCTGCAGCATTAGCAGCAGATCTATGCAGCGAAGAAGACGCAGCAGCAGTCAATTAGTAGAAGACCACCGAACTGCTGCAGCAGCAGAGCAGCAGCAGCAGCAGCTTGAGGTGTACAGACAACTATTGCTGCAGTGTCAGCAGCAACAAAGAAGATAAAGAAGAAGATAAAAACACAACACCTGCTGCCTCCTTTACAGCGTAGCAGCAGCAGCAGTTGTACTTCCTTCTGCTGCTGCTGCTGCTTCTGCTGCTGCTGCTGCTGCTGCTGCTGGGCCTCAACGCGTGGGGCTGCTGCTGCTCGCTGCTGCCTGCATAGAAGACCACCAAACCCTAAACCCTAATTTTATATTATTTATTTTTAATAATAAAAATGTAAGACAGACACCTCTAAGCGCATGCAGCAGCAGCAGCAACAGCAGCAATAGCAGCAGCTGCAACAGCAGCAGCAGCAGCAACAGCAGCAGCAGTCCTGTCCCTCCAGCCTGCATGGCTCTCTCTCTCTGCTCAAACGCGGCGCGTTGGCTGTGCTGCTGCTGCTGCAGCAGCAGCAGCAGCAACACAAGTAGCAGCAGCAGAATATAATGACTATATTTTGCTTATAGTTTTCCACACACTATCTTCAAGCAGCAGCAACCTCAACAGCAGCAGCAGCAGCAGCAGCAGCAGCAGCAGCGGGAGGGACTCCTAGGAGGCCCATAGGCTAGCGAGTTGTCTTCTGCTGCTGCTGCTGCATTTTTTCTTTCTTTTGTTTTCTTTATTTAATTATCTTTTATATATATTTGGTGTACAGCCGCTGCTGCTGCTGCTGCTGCTGCTAGGCAGCAGCAGCAGCAGCAGCAACAAGCCAGCAGCAACGCCACTCGACAACTAGACATGAGACCTCGGCCTCACCAACAGCAGCAGCAGCAGCAGCAGCAGCAGCAGTAGCAGTATAAAGCTCTTGTCTCAGCTATTGAGGCGCTGCTGCTACCTCACACCGGCAGCGGCAGCAGCAGCAGCAACCGCAGCATCGCAGAGCAGGACCAGCAGCAACAGCAGCAACAGCAGCAGCACACCGCAACAGACAGCAGCAGCAGCAGACATCGCATTTAGCTGGTGACAATGACGGGTGATAGGCAGGAAGAGACCGTGCAGCAGCAGCAGGAGCAGCAGCAGCAGCATCAGCAGCAGCAGCATCAGCAGCAGCAGCAGCAGGGTCTTGGAGACCACAGCACGCAACAGCAGCGGCGACATAGTCTGCAGCAGCAGCAGGAGCAGCAACAGCAGCAACAGCAGCAAGAACCTCAGCAGAATGTCTCCGATACACCGCAGCAGCAGCAGACGGTGCAACACGAACAGCAGCCGCAAGAGCAGCAGCAGCAGCAGCAGCAGCAGCAGACGTGTTCTTGCGCAGATATCCTATCTGCTGCACTGCAGCAGGGGGAAGCTGCTTATACACCCGAAGGTGTTCTTGCTGCTGTTCGTCTGCTGCCTCCCTGTGCAATACATTCTCCTGTTGCACCTGCAGCAGTAGCAGCAGCAACAGCAACAGCAGCAGCAGCAGCACGCGAGTCACGCACCAGCGGAGCAGCAGAAGCAGCGGCAGCAACAGAAGCAGCAGAAGCGATCGAAGCAGCAAAAGATGCTGCAGCAGCAACAGCAGCAACAGCAGCCGCTGCAGCAGACTCAGCAGCAGCAGCAGCAGCACCCTTGATAGATCAACAGCAACAGCAGCAGCTGCAGCCGCACGTATTACTGCAGCAGCTACAGCAGCAGCTGTTGCTGCAGCAGCAGCAGCCGCTGCTGCGGCTGCAGCAGCCAAAGATATCTGCTGCTGCAGCACAAAGCTTGTTAGAGTTGCTGCATGGTTTGCTGCTGTCTATGCGGCAGCAGCGAGCAGCATTTGGTGGGCAGCTGCTGCATGCACGCTTGCTGCTGCGGCAGCTGCTGCTGCTGCTGCCAGGGGAATTCGCTAAGGAAGCAGATAGGCTACTTGCTGCAGCAGGAAAGAAACTACGCAGAAGAGCAGCAGCAGCAGCAGCAGATGCAGCTGCAGCAGATGCAGCAGCAGCAGCAGCAGATGCTGCTGCTGCTGTTTCTGATGGGCATGATACTTCTTCGGATAGTGCAGCAGGAGAGGAAGCCACTTCTGCAGCTGCTGAAGCTGCAGCAGCAGCAGTAGCTGCAGCAGCAGCAGCTGCTGCTGCTGCTACTGCAGCAACACCAGCAGCAGCAGGAGGAGCAGCAGCAGCACTTGCTGCTAATATGCCTACATGGAACCCCCTGTCTCTCTCTGATCTTGATAGCGACGTTGCGGTGTCTCCTCAGCTGCAGTCTGCTGCTGCAGCACTTGCTGCTGCACTGCAGCAGCAGCAGCAGCAAATGCAGCTCGAGCCTCCCCTGGTTTCATCGAGCAAGACAAAGCAGCAGCAGCAGCAACAGCAGCAGCAGCAGCAGCAATCGTCGCTGCTGCTAGGAAGCTCTCAGAGCACTGCTGCTTTCACAGCCAGCCCAGAGATGCGAATATATGACAGCATGCAGCAGAAGCAGCAGCAGCAGCCGCAGCAGCAGCCGCAGCAGCAGCAGCAGCCGCAGCAGCAGGAGACACAGCGGCAAAGACACAGCAGCAGCAGCAGCAGCAGCAGCAGCTCCGCCTTTCTCCCTGTCCCTGATTCAGCTTCTGGAGCGGAGAGAGTTCCGTTGCAGCAGCCCCCTTTGCAGCAGCAGCAGCATGAGGATCAGCAGCAACAACGGCAGCAGCAGCAGCAGCAGCAGCAGCAGGAGAGGCAGCGTTTATCCAGCTCGCTGCAGCAGCGACTTGTCTCCTGCCCCTCCTTAGCAGAATTAAAGGAAAGAATTGCTGCTCTTAGAGTTGCCTTAGAGAGACCCTCGCAGCAGCAGCAGCAGCAGCAGCAGCAGCAGCAGCAGCAGCAGCAGCAGCAGCAGCAACTGCAGCAGCAGGATAAGTACTCCTCTACTGCTATACTGCAGCGGCTGCAACAGTTGATGGCGCAAGAGGACGTGCAGACCCCTCAGCAGCAGCAACAGCAACAGCAGCAGCAGCAGCAGTCACAACCCTCCGCGTCCCAACTCCTTTTTAATAGGGGGCAGCAGCAGCGACAACAGCAGCAGCAACAGCAGCAGCAGCAGCAGCAGCAGCAGCAAAGGCTGCTTGCTGCAGCTGCCTCTTCAGTCCCGCGCCAGCAGGTGAGGTTTAGCCAAGAGCTGCAGCAGTGCCGGGTCTCGCCTGCTGCTCCCCATACAACAGCAGCAACAGCAGCAGCAGCAACAGCAGCAACAGCAGTAGCACCAACAGCAGCAGCACCAACAGCAGCAGCAGCAGCAGCAGCAGCAGCAGCACAGGAACGCCGACCCGCAGGTGTACTGTCTCCATTAGCTGGCGGCACCTTTGCAGGACCAACACTATTGCTGAGGGACGCAGCAAGGCAACAGCAGCAGCTGCAGCTGCATCAGCAGCAGCAGCGGTGGAGGCGAGAGCAACGACGTTTGCTGCAGCAGCAGCAGCAGCAGCACAGGGATGCTACCAGCAGTAACGGCAGCAGCAGCAGCAGCAGCTCTCTATCGCCGCCGCAGCACCTACAGGAGCGCTTTTCCTCCTTCTGCATAGGAGAACCAGCAGCAAGCCCCAGAGGTAGCAGCAGCAGCAGCAGCAGCAGCAGCGGACGCGTGCACACGCATACGCGTGCGACCCAACGGGCACACTCAGCAACAGCAGCAGCAGCAGCAACAGCAGCAACACGTACACGCAGTGTACTAAGGAAGTCGCAGCAGCAGCAGCAGCAGCAGCAGCAGCAGCAGCAGCAACTTCCATTTTGGGAGCGGCTCAGTCAGCCAACCGGCCGCCACTTGCAGCAGCAGCAGCAGCAGCAGCAACAGCAGCAACAGCAGCAGCAGCGGCGACGGGTGGTGCAAGTACAGTTACCTCAAGAGCAGCACCAGCAACCGCAGCAGCAGCAGCAACAGCAGCAGCAAAGCTCTTGTGGCTGTGTAAGTCTGTGCACTCTTGTTGCTTCCTTCCTCTGCATGCAGCAGCAGCAGCAGCAGCAATTCGTTGTGTCTCCTTTCGTGTCTCTTCCTGCTGCTGTTTAGTTCTTGTGTCTCCTTGTTGCTGTACATTTACTGTGTTGCTGTTTGTCTCCTTTCCTCTGCAGCGGCGACAGCAACAGCAGCAGCAGCAGCAACAGCAGCAGCAGCAGCAGCAGCAGGAGCTGGAGCAGCAGCTTGAAGCCCTAAGAGCCCGGGAGCGTCAGCTGCAGCAGGAGGAACGTCGTCTGTTGGCTCTGCAGCAGCAGCACCGCCTGCAGCGCCGTCAACAGCAGCAGCAGAAGCAGCAGCAGCAGCAGCAACAGCAGCAGCAGCAGCAGCAGCAGCAGCAAGAGGACCTTGAGCCTGTCTCCGTACGGCTACGATTAGAGCTACCAGGAGACCCCACAAATTTGCTGCTGCGTTATATAGAGGAAGAGGAGACAGCAAAAGGAGACAATATAAATAATATAAATAATAATAATATAAATAATAATAATATAAATAATAATAATAATATAAATAATAATATAAATAATAATATAAATAAACAAGAAAAAGGAGAGAAAGGAGACACATGGAGGGATCGTCTTATCCTTCGTTATCCTCCTGCTGATAGAGTCACTGTACGTCCAGCCCCAAAGTGCATGCATGCATGCATGCATGCATGCATGCATTTTTCTCCCTTTTTGTTTGTTTATTTGTTTGTTTGTTTGTTTGTCTTCTTGTTGTGTCTCTTTTCTTCTTCTTTTTCCCTTCTTTTTATCTCTTTTTTTGTCTCTTGTTGTCTTTTTTTTTTGTCTCTTTTTGTCTCCTTTGTTATACAATATTATTTATACTAATTGTCTCCTTTTTTGTCTCCTTTTGTCTCCTTTTGTCTCCTTTTGTCTCCTTTTGCAGATTGCTGTCTCTGATGGGCAGCAAGAAGTTGCTAGGCTACGTCTAAGGATATGCGAAGGCTCCTGCTAGGGTTTAGGGTTTAGGGTTTAGGGTTTAGGGTTTAGGGTTTAGGGTTTAGAGGGTCAATGGGGGTATATCGTCAATATAGCTATTTGTATATAAATAAATATATATTTATATAAATAAATAATTAAATATATTTATTTTTTTTTTTTTAATTTATATTTAATTTAAATATAAATAAATAAATAAATAAATAAATAAAATTTATTATTTATTTAATGCATGCAAATATATTTGCTAAGAACACAAACGCATGCAAATCGATTTTTTATGTCGCCAGCCCCATCAATGCCTGCATGCATGCATGCATGCATTTTTTGCATGCATTTTTCGCGTGCATTTTTGCATGCGTGTTTGCATGCATGCGCTTTTGCATGCATGCGCTTTTGCATGCATGCGTTTTTTGCATGCATGCGTTTAATGCATGCATGCACTTTTGCATGCATTTTTGCATGCATTTTTGCATGCATGCATGCATGCATGCATGTTCTGTATATTATAGGGGTGCGCCTTTTTTTCTCTCTTTTCCTCTAAGGGAAGATGCCTTTATATATATAATATATAATATATAATAAATATTATATATATAAATATATTTATTATTTATTATTATTAATAATAAATAAATAAATAAATAAA